TAACCCCCGTAACTATTGCTAGCAGAATGAAGTGGTGGTTTCATTCTGACTGCAGTGCTCAAACTGTCCTGGTCCGTTTGCAAAGTGGCTGCATCTGTCCTCTGAGCTTCAGTTTGGTTAGTCAGGGTGACTCCTTACAGGTGACTCCTTACATTCTGCTCCCTGTCTTTCCTGGCTAGACAAAGGGGTTGTTTACACTGCTTACTTTTACCTCATTCCACCTTTTTGTGACTAGCTTTCACAGGGCGCACGTTGGGAACGAGGTAGGGAGAGTAAGGCTCCAGAGGTTGCACTATAACCCTTGCCCTTCCTGATTGTTTTGTCTCTATCCTCTCTCATCAGTAGGCAACAATGACACATTTGACCTTTGCTTAAATTAATACATTCCAATGGAGGATAGTATGGAAACTGTGACTGGGTTTCTTGTTTACGTTTGTATCCTCAGGACCTAGCACAGTGCTTGGCTACGTAGTTAGCAACCTAATGAAAGTTTGTTTAGCAAATAATAAACCCACTGCTGCCACCTGTACAGCATCATTCCCTGAGAATCCAGAGCACGACACAGATCTGTATATTTTATTTTGTGCTACATCTCTAGTTTCAAGAACGATCATCAGTGGTAAATATATAGCTCTAAACAACATTTCATTTTACACTTCTATTACTCATGGAACATTAAGGAGTTTGTCGTTTATAATTCACATCTTTATGAATGCATTTGGCCATTGCACAGACTTTCCATTACCTTAGACACTTATAAAATAACTCTAAATAAGCTTTATCAGATTTTCTCAGACGGGCAGCTCAGGAAGAGTCCCTTTGCCTGAAATAGGCCAAAAATGAGGTTGACATGAAGAATGTTCTTGCAGAAGCAACTTGGAAAAACAAATAGTGCAAGTGAATTCGTTACGTTTCACCTCCTCCTCCTCTGCTCTTCTGATAGTTCTGCTTTGCTTAATGTTTTGAATATTTAATACTATGCTAATTTTTTCCATTCAATGTCATTTCTATCCTAGAGGAAATTTTACAAGAGTCGTTCTACCAATATTTAAAATAAATGGGGATGGTGTTTGGAACATTTGCATTGTTTGAGATTATTTTGAACCTCAAAAGTTGTTTTTCTTTCTCTGTGGACTGTTTTTAATGGCTAAAGGTAGTGACAACTACTAATAATACATTCATTTTTCTTCCTTCTCCAATTCCAATTTTAGGTAGGAAGAAAAAAATAAGATTTCACTGGGGCAGAGGGTCATCAAAGTTGACATATGTCATAATTGCCTCGATAGCATTGTTTGAACATTGATGCAGTAAAATATGGTCAAAAATAGTATCCTCCAAGAATTCAAACACATAGGGAAAGGATAGTCTCCATATATATTATAAAACATTAACTTTGGTTTATGATTTAACTTTCTAGTTTTTTATTAATCTAGGCCTCCAGTAAAAATAATCTCTTCCTCAAAACACAGCACCTATTTACATTCATACTCACTTAAGAATTTATCCAGGCACCATTTCGCCTGGGATGACTTGGGAAAAAAATTGGTAGCATCGTAGAATGTCAAAGCTGAGTGAGACACTAGAGATCATCTCATCTAAGCCCTCATTTTATTGGCAAGAAAATAAAGGCCAGGAGGATAAAGCCATTTTCCCATGTCACACATGTTGTTCATGTTAAGACAAAACTCTACCCCTTCTACTGTGCCAAGTGGATTAGCATTCTGGTGTATAGGTTTTTTTTCCATTACTATATGTTTAAACAGACTCTCCTTTTACTCACAACAAATCTTGTTGTACAAAAATACGTACTTTTATATATAAATCTGAATGACCCATAACCCAATGCTCAGTTCTCACTATAACATGGATTCTATATTTATCTCTTATAAAGGTTGTGTGGGTGAACATGGTAAATATAAAGTATACAAAGCTTTTTAGAACAAAGGTTTTGCTAGTGGAAGCAATTTAAAATGTTTCAGCTAATATTTACTGTAAAACGAAAGATTAACAAATTCTGGGGTTCTATGTCTATCTATGCTTTTCCTAAGGCTAATAGAGTACGTGTCCTTGGTATGCGTGTCAGGGCTCATTTTGATGGGCTAGCTCACTGTTCAGGAAACAAGTTAATATAGGTCCTTTCCCAAGGTGACCTCAGATTCAGAACACCTCCTAACTTTCACAGCAATGAGAAAATAGTGTCTTTGGCAATATGCTGATTGCTACTGGGTTTTTGTAAGGAAATGAGGCTTCTCTGTGGGTGGGAAGGGAACAGCTGTAGTGGGTGCAGCTGGAGGTGAGTTAGGGGGGAATTTGGGGGGCGGTTATACAGGTAGAGAGGACCTTGTACTGTGGAGCATGACTCAGTGCACATCCTGCCTTTAAAAAGTTCTGTTATCAGCACTTTCATAATCATCCTACTCAGAGCATCCTCCTCTCCCACCTGCATCCTCCACCCCCTCCCAGGCTGTTCCCACTCTAAGCCCTGGTGAAATCTCAACAATAAATAAATATGCTACTATAACTTCTTTTTTTTTTTTTTTTATAAATTTTTTTTTATTTATTTTTTCCCCCCAAAGCCCCAGTAGATAGTTGTATGTCATAGTTGCACATTCTTCCAGCTGCTGCACGCGGGACGCGGTCCCAGCATGGCCGGAGAAGTGGTGCGTCGGTGCAAACCCAGGATCCGAACCCGAGCCGCCAGCAGCGGAGCACACGCACTCAACCGCTAAGCCATGGGGCCGGCCCCTACTATAACTTCTTAATCTAGTAAACAAGAGTGTTTACTTGTTTAGCATTTACTGTATTTCACGGAGTCTGGGCATTTGGGCGTTTGTCGTCAACAGAATGTATTGCAATAAAATATAGGATGTAAAGTGATTTTTAACAAAATGCTAAAAAGCTGGAAAAATATAATTCCATTTCTAAGTACTCTGTAGCTTCAAAATTCAGCAGAACTCTTAAAACTTACCACTTAATGTACTTTTTATTTGGAGAATGTATTTTCTGAATTTATCTTTGGATTCAGATTATTTCTCATATTAATGATACCAGACTACAGCTTTTTTCTCTTAGACAGTCTCAGTTATTATCTTGACAATATTGGCAAAAAGCAGAGTGTCTGCATGTCATTAAAATTTCAAAAGTGTTTCATTTTTTCAAGACTGTTAAAATTGGCCAATGAAAAAATTCAAGCATCACTTGTAAAAATTCTTCTAATATCCTAAAATATATTCACACACTATATATCCATCAGTATATTTTATTTTAGACAAAATGTAAGCCACAAACCCAGAACTTGCCAGTTAAATTATATTTAGCATGTTTTCCAAATATTAACTTGAAGCAGAAAATTGATTTTCAACCAGAAATGTTATTTCATGTATATAATTTTTCTTAAACACAACATACTTTGAAAATCTATTTGCTTCTCCTGTTTGAAAGAGGACAGTAGAGCAGAGTGCCCTTTCTCTTGACAACAGCTGACAAATTATATAGGCTTAATAAATAATTATTGATTTGATATGATTTAGAGAACCTTTTTTTTTTTTGCTGAGGAAAATTCACCCTGAGCTAATATCTGTGGCCAGTGTTCCTCTATTTTGTATGTGGGTCACTGCCACAGCATGGCTGATGAGTGGTGTAGGTCCACAACTGGGATCCAAACCCGCGAACCCCAGGCCACCAAAGTGGAGCACACCGAACTTAACCACTAGGTCATGGGGCAGGCCCCTTAGGGAACCTTTTTAAATTCAAAAAATATCATCTGGATTAATCATAGATATGACCTTGAAATTAGATTGGTTTAAAGAATATTACAACCAAAGACAGAGATCCAGCATCACTGCTGGGATGCATCTCCAGTTGGAGTGGCCAAGCCCCATCCCACAGAAACGCTGTCACCTCCACGGGCCTCAGCTCAATTATCCCAGGAAATCCTGGTGAGCTGCTAAGAAGAGACACAAGCGTGTTGGAAATGCTGTCAGGCTCTTTTCAATCCCCTCCCTCTATCTCCTTCTTTATCTTTAAAAGGAAATAGTTATGGAGGAGAAGAGGCAGCAGTGCTGTGAAGAACCAAGCAATAGACTGAAGTCAAGGCACATCTCCACTAACAACAGTCTGGGGTCGTCGCAAAACAGGTTACCTCTTTCACAAGTTAGTTACTTCCACCTCCCTCATCTACAAACATAAGAGGCTGGACAGATCCCCAAGGCCTCTTCCCGTTCCCAAACCCTGTAATTCAGACTGCCCATAAACAATAAATGGAACTCTGGGATGTTCAATTTCTAAAGTCAAGTTGTAAAGGGTATAGACTTTTTCATTAACAAATGCCAGAAGCTGTGCGGAGCTTTGTGGGTGCTCAATAAATATTAAACAATCAATTTTATCTTTCATCTGCAAAATGGGGTGAGTAATGCTGACTTGTCTCACAGCATTTTGTGTGAGAAGTAATAAATGAGAAGAAAGCACTTTTCAGATAATGACGTAATTCGAATAAGCTGCTTTAATAGGTCTGCGGTCTAGCTAGATGATGCAGGAATAAAGTGTCTTTTTTATTATTACGTATGTGCAATACAGCAGTCTTTTCATCTGTTTGAGAAGAAACAGTCATTATCCTTGCTTATCACCAAAAAGTCAGCCTGAGTCATTTCTGTGCAAATGGAATTTTTCGTGTGATTTTAACATTTATCACTTTTAACAAAATGCAGCTTTTATCTTTACCTGATATGAAAGTGGAATCATATATTGATTTAAATAGTTTAATGAGGCATTCCATTGGCATTATACTATTCTGCCCAAAGAAAATGCTTTTTGAAATGACTGATAAGCTGCACAAACGAGAAAATTGTAAATTTAATAGTCCTCCTACACAAAAATAATACAATCCAGGAATTGTTACTAAGGAAAATGGTGTATTGCATTCCAGTTTCCTGGAGATTTCCACACTATGTTCTTTTTTTATGTTTATGTTCAATAAATGATATATGCTATATTTTTTACAGTGTTTCAACAAAAGGCAGCCAGAAGACAATCTGATGGTGACAAGTTCTATGGTCCTAAGAGACAAGGTACTGACATGAACTTCAGTTTATTTAATAATCTCTAAGTAAGATTTAAAGAAGTCTAATGAATGCTGAATAAAGTCTCCTGGGGTAGAAGTAAATAATTGTGTACTTGATTAATTTGACTCTTAAGTTAGTGTCTTACTCAAATATAATTTTGCTGTAATAAGATTATGTAAGAAAATTATTTTAATTAACAAAGGCAAGAAATGGGCTCATGAGAATATTTGTGGTGATGTTGATGCCATTATCAGGGCTGTAGGACAATGAGGTAAGACACATTCTCCAGCATGCAGCAGAGACCAGGCTTTTGTAAACCTTTAGAGAGAAGCCTCTGGAAATTAACTTGATGGGAGGGGCAGGTGATTGATTCCCCAGTGAAGGGGGCCTGGGCTTTCTGTGCTCCATTGAACTCCAATCAAAGACTGGACCCTGTTCTCACTATTCTCTTGCCTTCAGCACTTGATCCAACATTTCTGAACAATTATTTGTCATGCAGAGAAGAGCTGAAAACTGTGGCGACAGGGACATCTCACACAGGAGGAGTATTTTCCTTTTGCTCTACAAGGAGGCAGCTGCCTCCACTTTTGCCTGACACACTTAGTTCCTATTGAAAAGAGAAACTCTAGCAGGTTATTTATTATGAATTTTTTTCCTGATAATAAGGCCTTGGTTAAAGTTCAAAACTGAAAAATGTAAAGGTGGCAGAGGTGGGGGGTCACACTGGCTGGCCCTGATAATCAATGAGCATGTACAGATGCTTTTAACCTCAACGCAGCATTGAAATAGCTTCAGTCCAAAATAATATTACCTTGAAATTGTTACCAGTAAATTATTGAAACAGACGTTAAAATAAAAGCAGGAAATTATTTCACAGCAGCCAGTAAACACTCCCACAGTCGGTCTCCTCTTGTGCCCTTCTGGAGATGGATGGGTACTGATTGCACCAACTTCTAACCCCCGCTGAGCTATTAAATACAGAGCCTCAGTGGACCTGCTCAGAAAATGCCATGGATCGTCCTCCAAACAAAGGTGTGTCCTTGAATGATGATCTTTGCCCATCACCTCAAGTGGCACTTCCCACGGCAGCGAGCTTGTACTTAGATCATTCTTCCAATTAAGTACACCAATTTGAATGCCCGTCTCCCATGAATCACTTGGATATACTGCTTATAAATTTACATGCAAAAAACTCTCTTTATTTGATAATTTTTCATTTTTGGTGATTTCATATTTTGGGGGGAAGGATATATCTTTTTAAGTCTACTATTACCCTCCCACTGTGCCTTTAGCTCTCTCAGGAAATAAATGCAGAACTCCATATGAGATCATTGTACAATTAGGATCAAACAGTTACTGGAGAATTAAACAAAGTAGAAAAGATTATTCCTATCTCAACTCCCCCACATACCTCACAGAGCTTTGGAAAGAATAAAGAGAAGGAATGCTTTGAGCATTTGGGGAAAAAATTTCCCTGAAACATTTTTTATAAATTATTGTTATATTTTAATTAAACTCTGTTAGAATTAAGGGGAAAATGTGAAGAAGGCCACAGGAGGTGAAGGAAGGTGACAAGTAGCAAGTGTGGTGAAGAGGTCCTTGGAATTCTTGACCTTGGTGATTATCCTTCTGAGTGTCCCACAGAGAGTAATACCAGGAAAGGTTGCTAGTATCCGTGAAGACAGATGATCATTCTACCATAGCTATAGAAATAGTCCCTTCTGTGCCCAGGAAAAATGGGAAGGGGGGATGGCGGAAGAAAACAAGGACCTAATTATAAAATATTCTATTGGATTGATGTCTGTCCATGTCCTGTTACCTAATTTGCTTCATCAAAGTCAATGATCACTAGATGTTTAAAACTCTTTGTGGGCTCGGACACTGAAAATTTTGATCAAATTGTGTATGAATTTTTTTCTCTCTAGATACTTAAAGCCAACTTATTGGTGATGTTTTTGATCAGTCACCTTAGAGCCATTTCCCTAGGTCCCTTTAACCCTGGACATCAGTAATTCAGCAGGATGGAAAAGAATATTGTTCTATTTGCAAGGACCAAAGGAACATTAAATCTTATGAAATGTTAAAAAACCTCCTGGGTGACTATGTAATCTGCAGGGAAATCAGAATCTATCATGAGGAAAAAAACATAATTAAGAATAATTGGGAAGATTTTGAAATAAAAGAATTAAGTACCTACAAGGGCTTACTCCATCCAACCATTCTTCTCTAAACTTTTTCAGATATTTGTGATCATCCAGTCCATGGGACATACTAGGCAATCAAAACTGCTTATTCCTGAATTAATGTATGCTATTCAAATATCCTGGAATTTCATGGTGTAATAGGAAAAGCAGTACATACTTCACCAATGATAATCTCTTTATTTGGTAGAGAAAAAAAAGGACCTTTTAGGAAATGTTTGTCAGAGTCAAGATTTTCTGGGCCGGCCCCGTGGCTTAGCGGTTAAGTGCGCGCACTCCACTGCTGGCGGCCCGGGTTCGGACCCCGGGCGCGCACCAACGCACCGCTTCTCCGGCCATGCTGAGGCTGCGTCCCACATACAGCAACTAGAAGGATGTGCAACTATGACATACAACTATCTACTGGGGCTTTGGGGGGAAAAATAAATAAATAAATAAATAAATAAATAAATAAAATTATAAAAAAAGATTTTGTAAAAGGACTAGACACATTCTCTAAAGAAGGTTAAAGAAATTATTTAATCCTTCCACTATAGGCTGGAAGGAAAAGGGATTATGAGCGCCAACTCTTTTCCCACTGAAAGCATAAGCGTTTCAGACGCCCTACCTTCAAGGCTGCCAAGGGGTTGCCAGGAAGTTACGTTATTGCTAAGTGGAGAAGTTTTCCTGAGGAACAGAAAAATAATTAATTGGCACCATTTCCATGGAAACTCAACAGATTTCTTCAACTCAATTTTCACATCTTGAAAAATATAAGGAAAATACTGAGGACTTTGGATCACAAATAAAAGTTTCCATCAAAATATAGTTTTAAAATCGATTTTCCCAAGTTAGTTTTGAATTCAGAAAATGCTGAAGTGCTGTCATAGAATGCGGTGCTGCTGCACCTTCACTCCCTTCCCAAAGGCGAGCCTCATGGGGTAGGCACAAGTCTGTCCTTCAATGCTGCAAGCCAGAGGACAGAGTTCTGTCAGTGGGTTTGCAGTTAATCTGAGTCACATTAACCAAGCTCACAGAGGACTGATTTATAACTCCCAATTCCAATCAATTAAATCCATATGAGGGCAAGATTCCTTCTTGGTGACTAGAATGCTTGCATTCATTAGGCTTCTGCCAGATAATAAAGTTTCTATAAAAAATAATTAGTGGGGCCGGCCCGTGGCTTAGCGGTTAAGTGCACCCACTCTGCTACTGGCGGCCGGGGTTCGGATGCCGGGCGCGCACCAACACTGCTTCTCCGGCCATGCTGAGGCCGCGTCCCACATACAGCAACTAGAAGGATGTGCAACTATGACATACAACTATCTACTGGGGCTTTGGGGGAAAAAAAAACGGAGTATTGGCAATAGATGTTAGCTCAGAGCCAGTCTTCTTCAGCAAAAAGAGGAGGATTAGCATGAATGTTAGCTCAGGGCTGATCTTCCTCACAAAAAAAATAAATAAAATAATTATTAGTAATGATAAAACTACTAGGTGAACAGGATCAAGTCAAAGGGCAATGGAGGAATGTAAGGGCTGCTTCTTCAAGGACATGAAACTATCTCGTTAATTTTCCCTGCCTCCTCAAATCATATAATAAAATAGCCTAGGGTCAAGTTCGCTCATTCTGCCAGACCTGTTACATCTTTTTCCCGGATTATGCCGGGGGGCCTTTTCTATTCTCACCAGAATCCTCTCCATTTGATTAACAGTCTCACCTCAGACATGAGACACGGCAACTGATGGGGCTCAGGATTCTCACAGGCAGCCTGCTGGCATCACGGCCGCACCACAGATCTGCTCCGCCACAGTTACATGACGAATCTCAAGGACGCGGTATTGCTGTCTCTCCGAGGAGGCAAACCATCTATGTGAGGGGTGGGGTTAGGTAGAAGCTAGAAGGAGCAATCCCACTCTAACCACTGCCTACGCCAGCGACTCCCAACCCCAGAGGAACATAAGAATTGTTTGCAGAGCTTCTAAAATGTGGTTGTCTAAGGCCTCCCTCAGACAGAGACTAAACGTGGAACACGTGAAAATAGTAAGAATCTCAAAACCAACACACAGAAAACAAAATTGAACCAAAAGAAACTGTGTTTTGGAGGCCAGATTATGGTCAAATCTGGCCTCTAAATATGTTATATTTCAATAATAATCTGCACAATATAATTTAAATTTTTGCCATGTTTAAACCATATTTAAAGCCATGTTTCATGTAAAAATTCAAATCTCCAGCCACTTCCTATTATATAATTGTGTCATTTGCTATAAATAATTTTTACTATTATCATTTGTTATCATACTTTCTATGTTGTTTTCCTATATTCGAAACACATTTCTCTAAACCCATAATTTTCTCAAAAGTGGGAAAATTAAAATATATATCAAGAAAATCATGTAATCAAGAAAAACATGAACGAGAGCATATTTATTTGTGGTAATGAAGACTGTTCGCATATTTTCATAAGAGGCACTCGCTCTCTCTGCTCAGTAATTCTGTCTGCCAGGCCCCGTAGGCTCCCGAGTGCACAGCCCCTGCTATAGTCCCTGCCACCCCGTTCTTCACTGCAACTGCGCAAATCCTCATTGGCTGGTCTTTTCGGGGGGCGCGCATGCTCGTGGGAAAGAGAGAGTCAGGGAACATATCTTATGTGTGTTCTCCAAGTGCCCAGCGCTGCATCAGTTTGATATATGTTAAATAATAAAATTTTCTATAAGTGGGAGACCTGGGGACATGTGGATGGTATTACTCTTATGTGGAGAAAAGAGAATGCTTGTCTCTGAGGTATTTTCATCAGGCTGTTTTTGCCAGTACTGGATATATTA